TGTATAATTATAACTAATATTTAGTGAAATTTAAAAATACACATACGCACCTTTTACTAATACTAATAATATGTGTTTTTTACGTTGCATATGTTGGATGTTACGTGTACAAGAAGTATATGTGGTGTGTATAGGGAGTATATGTTTAGTATATTAGAAATTTTTTTTTGTAAATTGTTCGGTATATATTGCATGCATATAGAGTATATGTTTAGTATATGTTCTGTATATTTAGAAGATTTTTTTGCATAAAGAATATAAACAAGCTATTATAATATGCTTATAAACTATATGTATACTTTTATTTATTAGAAAAAAGGAACGCATAATGTGTTGAAGGAAGATATTTTTTTTCATTGCAATATATATTGAATATATACTGACATAAACGCAATATATACCATATGAGCAATCGTTAGTATTTTTTCGGTGTATTTTTAGTATATTTTCGGTATATCCTCAAATGAACAATATTTATAAAAAAAAAATTATATTAAAGTTAATAATTTAAAGCCAATATATTTTTAGTATATTTTTTGTATATCCTAAAATGGACAATATTTAAAAAAAAAGATATATATACCATTTAAAAAGATATATATACCATTAAAATACGATTACAATAAACAATATATATACCATTAAAACAATATATATACCATTAAAAAACTGAAAATCAATTTAATGAATAATCAAACATAGAACAGAAAATATAATATAAAAGAACAAACCAGAATATTTTTTCTATACATGAACCATATTTTTTTATTATTCTTTGGAGATAATCATTCGACACATGAACCGATTTTGTTTTCTTTTTGTATTTGTAACATAATCTTTCTCTAACAATTGAGGGTATTTGTAACGGAATGTATGTGATAATTAAGGGTAGAAGACTTTATTTGTATAGTTAGTTACTTGAAGTATATCTCTAATAAAATTCAAGATTTTAGGTTTGAATACAATTTAAATTGTTCCACTTGTAAAAATGTAATAATTTGTAATTATGATTGGAAGGGTGAAAATTTTCCATATATTTTTACGCCTATTGTTCAATGAACTTGAATTATTCAACCAAGAGAGCAATTTTCATTTGCGTGCGTGAGACAAAAATGAGCCCAAACCTTAAATTCAACATGTTTGGCCCAAAACTAAGGATGGCTCATTTTTGGCCCAATATTATACATATATTTGTACTGTATACATATATCCCTAACGCTCCTGCTCTGTTAAACTGTTCTCCTCGTATGCTCCGTCTCTTCTTGTGTGTTCAGCAATTGTCCCAAAATCAGGTGCGATTTTTGTGGGTTATTTTATGTTTCAAAAATTGTCGCTGATTTGAAAAACACCGGCTCCCGTCGCTCGTCTTTTTTTTTTGTTCTTCGCCTATTTATTTTTTTTGTTAAGTAAATTAGATTTCTGGTAAAGGATTTCTGGTAAATGATTTTATTGTTTCCTTGAATCAAATGCCTTGTGTTAAGTAAATTACCTCTACAAGCGTTTTATTTATTTAGAGATCTTTGCGATAACTAATGTCGATTGGAATGTAAGTATTGGTAAGACTAATAGCCATTGATCCTTTTATTTCTAGTACCATTTAGGATAACATTGTACGTGGATTATGTTATGCCCTTGTAAGTTGTTATATGTTGGATGTCACCGTGGAAACGTAAGGTGTTGCCCTTCTTTCAGTAACTGTTCTGATGATAAAGCTCGAAACAGTGTTTTTTTATTTCAGGAGGATCCAGTGCTTTTGGTTCCTCAGAATGGGAATCACATGGTTTCTTTAATGTACCAAATGAACAATGTATAATAGGAACTGTAAATAAATTTTATCTGTGTGGGTATCTATTGCAGCTAAGGTTACATTGCCATCATTTTTGGCGATCATATCCAGCTCCGAGGATGATTGGCGTGAATGGCTGGTACTTTCATTTATTTTTCTTTTTTCAAAATTTGTTCTTATTTGTATTTTTGTTGTGTTATATTAGAGGCTTGTAATGTGCAATTGTTATATGCGTATTATAAATTATTATTAACCTTTGTTGTAGCCGTTGCCGGCTGAAATATACAAAGAGTACGATGGGTTGCTACCACGTGCTTGCCGGTTGACCACAATCGATGGCGAGGAATACGAAGCAACAATGGGATTAAAAAATGGGCAATTAAGTCTAATTGAAGGATGGGAAAACTTTATGGATTCAGAGTCTATTGAGTACGGTTTCCATTTGGAGTTCTATCGCCATAGTCTGTTCGATTTTGAAATCGAGATTATGGATGAGAATGGATGCGAAAGAGAGCCAATAGGTTCATTTACTCTGGACATGAAGAGAACACATGTGGAGCGTGCAAGGCTGGTAATTCGTATAAACTTGTTACTCTCTTTGTATACACCTTAAGAGTTTTTCGGTGCATTTCAGCCTTTTATTTATTTTTTTTTATTTCCATTAACCAATAGTGACAACGAATGAGGGGTAGCTATTTATGAATTTCCTTTCTTTTAGTTCATCCCTATGCAGTTTTGGCGCGACCATATTGAAGGAGATTACGCCGATACCAGTGTAGCATATCTTCTCATTGGGAAGCGCAAGTATGAATTGGAGGTTGTCGAGGGGCACGGGAATAAGTTGCTTCAAAGAGGCGAAGCACGTAGTTTCATGGATGACAATGAAATTGTGGAAAATTGTTCGTACAAGTTTTGCTTGGTTCCTGGTGAATTAATAAGATTCAAGGTGTACTTAAGTAGTTTCATGTAGTAATCTTTTTCTGTACGCATTGTTTTGCTTCATGTATGGTCACGTTTGATTTGTGTTCTTAGACATGTATTTGGGTTGAGTATTTCGTAGTTGAGTACATCGTACTTTTCGTGTGTTTTTAGGTAATGCAAACATATTCATATTTAGCTGTTCACCTTTACATTTAATCTATATAATCAACGAAAAGAGTACACTACATTGTTAGTTGAAACTACTCGAAACCCGAAATCTAAAGACCAGAAGAATTTAAGATAACGGATGGACATAGTGAGTTGAGTGTGTGGTTATCGTTGAATGAAAAAACGGCACGTTGTAAGAAAAGAGAAAATGCAACATCGGAGTATAAATGATTAAATGAATATGAACATATAGTAATACTATAGTCATTATAGGTTGACACAAAACTGTATGTATTTTGTTTTCCTCAATAAAATTTATCAAAAATTATTGTTTGTGTAGAATTGATTAATATTTAAGTAATGTGCTTTAGTTAATTAAAACATATAAACATTAATTTGTTTATTTTGTAATCTTGACCATAAGTTTCATATTTTGTGGTGAAGATATGACATTTAGTGACTAATAGCTATTTTTTTTTCTTTTATCGCAATATATCAAAATTATTTGCAATTAGCAAAAGAAAGTAACATCATTTCATTGACACACAGTCTAGATAGAGAGTACATCACAAAACGCCATCTTAATACTACATGGATGGCTAATAGAGGTGGAAACATTCTACTGCAACTATCTGACAACAGCAGTCAGAGTTGCACAAGGCTAACCTAGAATGTTCACAGAAGCATGCAGCTACACCATTCAAAGTTTGCACATGGCAGGCGAAAATTTTTACAAAAGTAGGCAGCAACATTAAGCAAAAGTAATAACCTAACAGGCGTGCACCAAGCATAGAGGATAACACCACGGAAGCACGTTTTTCAGCAAAAGTATCTACAAATGAGCAACGGCAAAGAAGCCCGCTTAGTTGCGTGGTTTTTTCAGCGGGCTCGATGGAACCGCTGAACTGGTTGCACTTGCGGCGTCACTGAAAGATCCATCGCCGCCGTTTGTGTCGAGTGGAGCATCGGAAGAGGAAGTACCAGTGGCTTCTCCAAATGCCAAGGCGCGTGCTGCGCTCGATTTCGATGGACCAGGAATGTCGGTGTTCACGGCGGCACTTGCAATTTGTTCCAGGCATGCCTTGGTGCTTGGTGTAAATAACTGGACATCAGGCTCAGGTTCAGGCGCGAGGTCAGGCATAGGTTCGTTATGTTTGTTATCAGGAGCAAACGTAGCGAACAATAATTATTTTTAGCCTCGTAGGTTATAGCTAGAGTAATAATCTTGACTTTAACATGTGTATTACCTGTGCAACTGCATGATGCATGTCATCCTCATCTAAGAGCCCTTCTATTTCATCCATATATAGCTTCACAATTGTATAGCTTGGCCCGTTGCTGTGGTACAGCCTCACATAACCAAACAAGATGGTGGTTCTTAATTCTCACGCCAATTGGTCCGAGCATATCCACGGCCTGTGTTGGCATAATGTAACAGCAATTTAAGACACACTATCATTAGGTACAGAGCTGAAATAATGAGACCAATGCGAAGTTATTTTTTTTTTTAGTTTGTGTAAACAAATAGAATGTGTAAGTAAAGAAGACACTGCACCTCTTCTTCAGCATCTTTCAACTCAGCACCAGTACGCCCAGCAAGCTCTTCAGCATCATCCCCATAAACAACTACTGCAATTGTGTCAGTCTCATCTTCAATGTAGATTGGAATTCTTGCCCTATTTAAACATCAAATGTTAAGGAATTTAATTTTTATTTTTTAGGTAGTTTTATTATATTTATAAAGTTGTTGACAACCGAAAATTACCTTGCTACGATTTGGCTTTGTTGGTTGCATGAGCTGCACCTTATATCAGAACCCACTTAAAGGTCGAATTTTTTCTAGCAGTTTGAGCAAGCGGCAAACCAAAGTGGTTGGTTGACCAGTCCCAAAGTTATACTTCCTTGAATCCAAGCAGCTTTGACCTGTTGTACATAAGAATTTGTGGTTGTAGTGTGGTGTATCAATGTCCATTAATTGTATGCCCTAGCTGTTTTCTATACTTATTTGAATATGTTGCACTTACATTGTTAGCAGGATTCAAGTAAGTTTCAATACTCATGATGTTTTCAGCATGTGGCCTTGGAAGCAATGCAGCAGGGTCTGTGAATGCTCTGGCTATAATGAGATTATCAATATCCAACCTATTTTGTATGTACCTGTGCACGAAATAATGTAGAAACCATGTGGTCACAACAAGTTTATATGATTTTCATATTCTTAATATGCAATTGAATTATACCACTGCTTTAGCTCATTTGCCTCGGGTGTCGGTGGATTTATGAGAATTGCACTTGTTGATTTAGTGGAGAGCGAGAGTCCTGGCCAAAGTTAATACCTTAAAGTTAGTGTGTTGCGAAGTATATATTATGAAAGAATAAACAAAAAAACACGCACAGACCATGGAAAGTTGTCACCCGAACACGCATTGCAATGATTACGTTTCCTGCGTTGATACCAGTGGCTAGTTGTTGACCTTCTGTTGTAGCGAACTCATTCCAAAGGGTTAAAATCATAGGCATGTTCCTGATATTTAGCAAATATACATTAAAATTATTTTTTTACATTTAAATTAACCTATGGAATAATCAATACCACAACTCACTCAGTGTTCACAATCACGATGTCTCTCATGACTGAATCAAAGCCCCTTTCTTTTGGTTCAAATGCATGAATAACAACGCCAAGCACATCTGTAGATAAAAAATAGCAGCAAAAGATGATGAAAATTATTTCAAGTGAAATAAGTCTCCCTGCAAAATCTGTTATTTAGTTGTGTAAGTGTAATACCCCAGAACATTAACTGAATCTAATATATTTGAAAATAAAAAGCAGTGCAAGAAAAACAATGATCCATAGGAACTAACACAAAGAAGCGCAGGACACCAAAGCGAGAGTTTAAATTATAGGCGAGACGTAAAGCACCTCATGTGTGTCCAATACAATGTCTTCCATATGACTTGATAATTACAAGCTAAATTCAAAGTGCAAGATATGAAATATATGAAACTATTTTCACATAATAACATACATTAGGTATACGGCGTACATCCCACAACAAGTCATTCAAGCTATTTTTCATACATTCTAAATAGCATCAGACACTTATATATGATTGCAATATGATAAAATTACATAATTTTACAATCACGAATCACAAAATGAGATATTTAACGAAACATCATCCAAAATTTCAGGTTCTAGAAACAAAATAACGAAGTGATCACATAATAAAGTATCTCAACGGCCGTAAAAAAAACATAATAAAGGACTATTAAATCAAAAAACATGAATAATGTGTAAAAATTTAACACAAATATTTACAACAGATTGATAGGCTTACTCTGTAAGTTTTCAGAGTCCCCGTAGCGATGTAAGTTTGCAAATCTTTCAGTGTCCATATGGCAATAAAGGTGGGTCGGGACAACGTCATCACAAGGCTGAATGAGGGTATTGTTGTTGATGGTCCAAGAAAAGTCATATGGTCCCACCCTATATTTGTCTTCAACTTTTTTCAGAGTGGCACCAGAGACACGATAGATCTTGAATGGGATCAGGAGATTAGCACCGGCCCTTATGTTATTGTTATAAGCAACAGCTGAAACATTAGTGCCCTGTCATAAAAACAATAAATTTAGTTTCGGCAACCTGTGAAATTAGTTAGCACATATTTTAAAGTTAGCCTCAAATGTTGTTTAAAGTATGAAATATAAAGGCCCAAAAATTACCTCAGCATCACAGAAAAGGAAACTGCGGTAAGAGACGGAAGTATCTTTTTGGCTTACAAGGATATGACCTCGTTCAATGACTTGTATGACGACTGTCCATCCTCTAATGCGCGGTTGGACTTGATTGATTGTCAATGTTTTCCTCATTATCAGATAATTTGCTGCACACATTGTAGTTTACCAAAGAAGTTAGCAAAATTAGTTAGCACATAGAGTCTGCAACAAGCTTGGTATTTAACATACAAATTCAGAAGCAGGCACAAAATATCAATTTATATCCCATCGTACTCTTGTTTTTTGGCCAAAACGAATGGAGCATAATCAGTAAATGTTTGGGTTGATATACATGTTACAGCTATCTACAAACATTCAAAAGGAAAAAAAAACGAAATTCTTTGGAAAAGCATGCTATTTAAGATATAAATGTTGACATGTACAGTATCTTTAAGGCATAAAACAGACCCTGCATTCAATAAGAAATAATTGCTCATGTATTTATAACAGATTTGTGGATTCTATGTTAGTGTAAGAGCAAAAAATACATTCTCAGGCATAAATGCAACATTCTCAGGCACAAGAAGCCAAAAAACTAACCAAGCAGTAAGTGCATACGTTAAAAGTGTAAGAATAATAAAGAAGATGCAATACAATAAGGAAGATGCAATACAATTTACTGTTATAGATTCAGTGTACTGTGGCCTTGGTGATTAGAAGGGCAAAGTTAAAGTTTTTTTATAGATGAGAGTAAAGAGTATGGACCAATACAGTTAATTAAAAAATAAAAAAAATGTTTGAAACAGAAATATATAAAAAAGGTAAAAAATTTAAAAATAAAATGACCTTAGACTGAAATCTGAGCAAAAAAAGTACAGAGATCTACCAACTAAATCTTCCAAATCCGTACTTGGTTCAATCTTTTTAAATCGGTAAGGTGGGATGATTGATTTTGTTGAAGCTGTTGACGAAAAAAAAAACTAAATTATGGAGAGAGATGCAGAGGTAGCGTGGATCGAAATTATGGAGAGAGATGCAGAGGTAGCTGTTGACAGGAATGAAATTACCTAACGATACTGTTGCCAAAGTAGTGGATCGAAATTTCTCCACCACGTTAACACATGGAACACGGCGTTCATAGGAGGTATGGTCGGGGCGGAAATTTAGCAATTCATGATGATTGCAGCTAGAAAATAGGACTGTAATAACAAGCATGGGCCGAAATTGAGGAGATCGGAGTTTTGGGAATTTATTTGAAATTGTAATTTTTTTTTTTTCAGAACAAAAGATTGAAATTGTAATTGAAAGAGCTATTTTTTTTCCTATCTTCTGCTTCCTTATTGCTCCGTCTCTTAATATATATAAGCTCAAGCATTTTCTTTTATTTTGTGTTGAAATTGTGTGAAAATTTATATAATATACATAATTACGTAGCTCTTATTTCGGAATCAACAAATATCTCTACTACTTCAAGTGGAAATTAATTGTCATTTAATATTTTAATTTGGTACTTTAGTTAGGTTTATAACATGCACAAAAATGCATAAATAATTAAATATACATTTTTTTTAATTGTATATTAGTAGTTGAATAAATCAGAACATGTATCAGAATAATATTTTTTTTTTTT